AGAAAAAAAATATATATATATTTTTCGTCGAGAGGATGAGCAACACACCGGCCAACAGGTAGGTCTCCAACCCTGAGGATGGGTCCATGAAACTTCTATCTATAGGATGAGCAAAATCGAATGAATCTTCCGTTATAACATGAAAATATACACTGCTACATGTGTGTGTGTGTGTGTGTGTGTGTGTGTGTGTTCGTGCCGCGGGGGTTGACCATAACATAAAGGCAGATAGTAGGTGACAATTGTCAGTCTTTTTTTCTTCCAATGTCTGTATCTACACGAAAAATGTTGGAGGTTTCAAATAGCGGAAAAAAACAGGGTAATACTCGAAGCTCATGAAACTCGTTGATTAAAATGGCGAGAATGACACCCACAAGGGGACTCGCAGTTGGTAAAAGCACGCGATTATCCCCGTGCTATGTAGGCGACTATTGCACTAGGGTGGATAACTTTGTGGGTTAATGTTTTTTATTTTTCAGTTTATCTATCCGCACTGGAAAACGGGATGATTCTGACAGGTGGAATTATCGTTTCTACACTTTAAGCTCATGATTCCCGTTGCTTAGTGATGAGAAACTTCCATAGATCAAGCGAATGAGGTTACTAAGTTTTCACAAAGCTTCAACATCCACGACTGATTTCTTCATTCTCTGCACAGAAGGTGGTTTGGTGATGGTCCGAAATATCTTGTTGTTGAAAGCGGATTTCGAGTTCCGGACTATGATCAACTCGTCTTGCCATTGGATATGAGTCTGTATAACATTGTACGCATACGTATATGTATATAAATGTATACATGTCGGTGAAACTCCGACGAAACAATTTGTCACAACTCCTCGTTTGCTGTCCTCTGCTCCATCTCTGCGTACGGTTTACCGGACAACTTTGTTTGACGACATATAGTCTCGGAGAAATAAAATATTCCACCTAAAACATACGGTATAATACAATAACTCAATAAAAATAATAATTAAAAATAAAATAAAATTATACTGATTAAAAAAAAATCACCGAGTTTGAAAATTGATTGTTGGCATATCTAATAAACATTATCGAGCATCAACGAACATAAATTCGTGCGTACACGAGGTTCTCGTGCGTAACTACCCTGATAATTAAACTCTCGCGTACGTCCCAACCCGTCTCTCCTACAATTCATGACAACGTCAAATTGAGTGAAAGTACATAAAAAAATAAATTTCCACACGATAACATTAAATTACGTGAAAGTGTATCGAAAATAAGTTTCCACACGGTTAAGAATTAAATGTTGGAATTGAAAAATAAAAGAACATACAAAAAAAAGATAGTATAAGGTGGAATTGAGAAAAAAAACTAGCTTAGTATAAAAAAAAAAAGGTTAAAAAAAGATAAAAAATTAAAGCACCACTACATCCGAGTCTGTTTTTGTCGAACCCGGTTTTCACTGGGCGCCGAGTTTTGCCGAGTCTGGGCCCCGTTCTGTTTCATTTTCTGGTAATGTAAAAAAAAAACAAAAAAAAAACCGCGTTGAGTTTGTTCAATATCACATATCCACAAACACGTTCAAATTCGGGCATTGAGGAAATTGAGTGGTGTTGCTGGGATACGGCCAAGGTGTATCAACTGAGCGTAGTCAGACTTACGAAGTGGATTACAGAGACATGTACTACCAAAATGGACACAACACCCCCAGCCTCCGCTCACCGGCGGGTACTCACCACTCCTTGACCACTTTTCAATTAGCGGATGGGAGAGATAGGTACTGCCAAAAATTGCCTTGATTGTGAGGGACCTATGTTTGTCGGAGAACCATCTGTAAGATAAGTACTTGTTATAGGTAGGTAGCGAAAATGTGGATATGAGCGAACAAAGATTAAAAGTATGAACAAAACATCCTCCATGCAGCGGCCTAACTCTTTGGCTGAGATAGGTTGTGTATTTACTTTGTAGGATGATGAATGTTGGTTTGCCATTTTTCTTATTTTTATGTTTGCTCATTCATGCACTTGGAAATGTCGCACTCTACTGAATCGATCATTTTTGTGAATATTGTTGACTTTTCCTTCCGCCTAGCTTGTTAAGGGATCGAATAAGACATAGCATGCGTGCCTCAAAACTGCACACCCACACACTTCCTATTTCTAGTCAGCCATTTAGTCGGTGTAAAAGAAACACAGCCGCGACTCACGCAGTGTACTCAGATTTTGAATCGAACTTATTTTTTGTCACTTGCAAAACCCAGGGCGGATACCCTTGTAAGGGTATTAGCACTGACGATGCATTCTAACACACGCGATAGTTATAACCAACCAAACCAGCCCGTTCCTCACGCCACCGCGTGAGACCATAGGTTACCCTGCCGACCCATAAGGTCGATGGTAACCCGGCTAGCTATCAGATGTCGCAATAATGCACGCCCCCACACACTTTCGATTCACCCTCTATGCTTGGGCGTGGGTTGTGCTAAAAAGGGTGCGACACGATTTGCACCTATTGTCGCAATGCACCTCGCCCGACTTGCACAAACACGAGCGAGTACTCTTGTAAGGATGTCTTCTCCTGACACTGGAGCCTACACCCACGAAACAGAGCACGCAAACCTCCTCTCCCACTCCCCATCGTGGCAGCGGGGTTGGTGAGCGAACAGCGCTCCGCACAAAAAGAAAAGGCTTGCAACTTTGGGGCTCTTTTTTTTTTTGTTTTTTTTCGGGACTACCGTAGTTCGTTTTGAGGTCCATAGAGTTTTCCGTCGCAGGCACGGAGTGGCACGCACAACATCGAGCGTGGCAGTTGCTCCGTGAAGATTCGAACACTTGATCTGTTTACTAACAGTTGCATGTGTTTATCGTTCAGCCACCCGGGGTGGGTTGTGGAAGACGTTTTTTGGTTCAGCCCGCACCCCGCCCTTGTCGCGCTCGGCAGGATCTTGCGTCTCGCGCCCGGCTTTCGGTCTCCGACCTCGGTCGTGCTCCGTCACCTCCATCGCATCTGGCTAGCTTAGTGCGCGCTCCTCTCGCTCAAGGAGCGAGACGCGCGATGATAGGTGCGTTCGCCGCCATTCACTCGCCTTCCGGGTGACGGCGAGCAACCCGAGGACGGGCGTCGGCGTGGCCGTAACTGGTACCGTGTACATACTGTGAAGCGAGTTGAGGAACAACGAGCGACGGGGATAAAGAGCGACGGAGATAAAGAGCGACGGAGATAAAGAGGGACGGAGTGAGGGAAGCAGGAGACACACACATACATCGTGATGGGGAGCCTGGGGAGAGCTCTTTACAATGTTGGGTTCTGGATAAGGGAGACTGGTCAAGCATTAGACCGATTGGGATGCCGTTTGCAAGGGAACTACGCCTTCAAAGAGCAATGTGAGTGTGCTTGCGTCTACATTTCCCGAACACCGAGAAAAAGGAGAAGTACGTGTTTGCGTGTGTGTGTGTGTGTGTGTGTGTGTGTGTGTGTGTGTGTGTGTGTGTG